TAAAAAGTTTTGCTCTATTTTAATTATTTATATTATGTTTTATATTATAATTTTTATTAATAAATATTCTAATTTCTTCTACACTACACCTACTAAAAGATCATTATGGCGAATTTATGAAATATCTAAAATTTCAAAATTTTAACCACTAAGTAACTAATAATAATTTTTGCCGAAATGATTACTATTCCTGGGAAAAAGTATATCATTATAATAAATTTCTGTCTAATAAAATACATTAAAACTGGGAAAGATAGATTAGCATGTGAAAAAGGTGTGTTAGACACGTTATTAATCAAAATCAGAAGCCAAAAAACTTTTTTAGAGTTTAAATATAAATTATGAAAAAACATACCTTAACGTTAATCCTAAATATAACTACAAAAAAATGCAAAAAAAAAACAAATTTATAAACTAACATAATAATAATAATAAGCAAAAAATCAATTATTTTATTTATTTTGAATAAACATAATAAACCAAATGTTTATTATAGCCAAAAAGTATTATTTTTACAGTTTTTATAAATATTAAGAATATTACATTGTCTCTTAAAATAATTATAATTCTCTAATTAATATAATTACTTTTTATTAATATTATTTAGCCTTTTGTTACGATTTAAATTCATCATACTATCTTCAATAATATTATTTAGCCTTTTGTTATGATTTAAATTCATACTATCATCAATAATATTTTTTTTGTATTCCTAAATTTACAATAATAAAAAATTTTTATTCAAATAAATACCTAAATTATAATTTTCTAGAAAAGCATTAAAAATAAAGTCTACAAACTTTTCTGGCCGATTAATTTTCTTGATTAGTGTTTATAATTTATTACTGAAAATTGGGTTATACATACTCAATATATAATTTTATAATATTGTATTAATTGGATTTTATACTTTTAAAAAATTATTTGGTTTCTCATGATTGCAACCATTACTTTTCATTTTAAAGAATCAAAAAAAAAACTACTTACAAATCAATTAATATTTTACTAAATATTATTAGTAACATCTCAGAACTTAACAATATTACACAACTTTTGAAACTTTTTTGAGTTGTGATTTTACTTTATTAAATCACATATTGATATACAAACATTACCAATTATATTTTCAATACATGGTACTAGATAAGAAAAAATATTAGCTAGTTTTAATATAAATTGAAAATCATTCTTGCTATATTTAGGGGTCGTCCAAAGCCATGTACCTATGTGACTTTTTTGTGTAAATCAACCAACCGGAATTGCAAAATTTTGTTTACACAGACCAATCCGAAGAAGTCAAAAAATAAAGAAAACGCAAAAAGATGAAAAATGACAGTCTTAACCTATCTTGGAGCACTAATTAAAAATGTTGGGAAGGCAATTTTACTTATATTCCTCTTCTTATATTAATACTCAACTAACTCTAATCCTAACCTTAATTTTAATTTAAATGATTAAAATATTAAAATCACATGGGTACATGGCTTTAGCCATTCCTTATATTTATCTAAATTTCATATGATATTAGTGAAATTGAATTGGAGTTGACTTTAAGCAACTTGACTTTAACCAATTCAAAAACTGATTAAACTGAGTTGTTTAACATTTCTACTTATAGACATGCTTTTGGTTTTTTTGATTTAGAAGCATGCCCCCAAATTTTTTACATTACAACTTTTTATATATACAGTATAAATTTTTTGAAAAAGGGCATGCCTCGTACCCCATCCCCAACCCTATTTATAAGACATGAGATCAAAATAATAAAAAAATACAACAGTTTACTTTGTTTAATTAGAGTTAGTGCAAGTTCAGTTTTGGGTTAAAATGAAGCATAGTTTATATCAAAATTTTGCAAGAAATTTTTTTTGTTAGAACACAAAGAACTGTTTTCTATGCAAAATTTTGAGATATTGGTGATTTTTCAAAAAAATTACAGTTTTTTGGATTTTTTATATTATACCTGATCCTAAAATTTGATTAGTTGAACAATAAATAAGAGTATTGCACTAGTGCAATATATAGATAAATCCTATAAAAAAATATAGAGTTAAAAAATTATAATAAAAAAATATAAGCAAGAAAATAAAGAGAAACATATAAAAAAAAAAACAAAAATAAAAATTTTATCCAATAGATAGTTATAATTATAAGTTTGTAATATATTAAGTTTTTTAAATATTATATACTATATACTAACTAAAAAAGTTTTTATAATAATTTTAACTATTTAGTATAAAAAATAAAACTATATATATAGAGAAAAACTTCTCAGACTAAAAATATAAAAAACTAGCAAAAGATTAGTTTTAAAATATTATTTAATATAGAGAATTATATAATAAAAATAAATTATACTAAAAATTAATATTTTTTTTAAATCTATAAAATCTAATATACTTTTTATTAATAAATACTACTCTTTAACTCTAATCTAACTATAACAAAAAGACTATAAAAAAGATTAAAAAGTTTTACAATTTTATAATAAAATATAAAAAATTTTTAGCATAATTATCAATATTTAACAGTATCTAAATCAGATTAAAATATATTATAATATTTTTTTTTCTTTAGGTATTCTAATTTACTTTATTTGAAGAAGAACTAAATATTTATATAGACAATATATTCATTATAGCTTATAATATCTCAACTAAAGATAAATCTCATTCAGTTTTATTATACAGTTACTAAAACTTTACTTGTAGTTAGAGTAAACTATTAAACTACTATATTATACTTAAATATAACTTGTTGAAGCTACATTTGACTTTTTTCAAAAATCTAAAACTTGTTTTAAACTTATTTCTTTTAGAATCAACAGTCAGTATATAGTTAACCTTGTTAAATTTCTGCTCTACAATAGAATATCACCAATTTAATGATATTTTCTTATAGAAAAGAAAAAAAAAAGAAAAAAGATACAAAAAAAAGAATAAAAAAAAACAAATACTAATATAAAAAAAACTAAAAAAAATATAAAATCTAAAAAAACTATTACTAGAAAGAAAAAAATCTGCTAACCAAATAAAACCTTTTAACTATACAAAGTAACAAACTACTTATATTAAAATATAAAAACCTTGATATAAAAAAATAAAAAAAATAAAATACATTATAACTTATACTAAAAATTAAAAATTATATACAAATAACTACAAGATATTTGTATATCTCAATATACTATATTTGACTCTTTTAATTAAATCCATATCATTATTTGAAAGTATAAAATTTTAAACTTTATATAGTTATTACCATTTTTTAAACTTTTTAGTACTATATATATTTGTATATTCTAAACAATACAATATATAAAATACTCTATCAGAATACCTAATCCAGTTATTAAAATTTATAGATACTGTTTATTTTATATATATTAATTTGTTATTATATAGTTTTCTGATATATAGTCAGATCTCGTTATAGTCACTAGTTTGAAAAACAAAATTTAGATGACTATAAAAAGGTGTGACTATATTAAAAAACCTTTATATAATCACTTTAATAATAAATAAAAATTTAATGACTATATAAAGATAATTAAATTTTCTCAAACACTAAATTTGTAGTAAAGTATATTTTTTGATAACTAGTTTTTTTATTTTTTTAATATATTATAAAGAAGATCAATATATATTCATATATAGCTTAGTTCTAACCTCAATTTAGAATTATGTAAAATAAAATTCAGTAATCTTTCAAGAGAAATATATTTATTTATAGAATTAGATATTATATATACAATATTAAAATACAACTATAATAATATTTAAATATGAAAAGATTTTTGGCTTTTAAAAACACAGTACCAACAGGGCAGATAAAACTACTTTAAGATGATAATTACATGGGATAACTACTTAAAAATATAGTTTTTCATCATAACTAGAGATGTATAATAATGAATTATAATAAAAATACTATAATTTATCAATTATAGTACCACCAGTTGTGACTTATTGAATACTACTATATTACTTAACAAAGGAACTATTGATATTATACAACTGATCCTTTATCTAGTGTGTAATATATATAAAAATTATTTTATAATATCAAATGTATATAATAAAATAGTATGGAATGATTTGGTATTATAAAATAATTTTTTTATATATTGTATACTGGGTAAAGGATCAGTTATTGTTATGTTATTTTACAATAGTACTCTGATTTTTTATTTTATCATTTTAGTTAGGTTTATTTGGTTTAGATGATCACAATTATCATGTCAGTTTTTTTTGAATTTTAATATCACTCTTTATTCAATATTTAATACATATCGTGGATCATAATTTAAAATGAAATCTATATTTTCTACTCAATCTGTTAACCTTTTAAAACCCACTTATACTTGTTTATTATAACTTTACTTTAAAACTAACCTCTAACCCTAACCCCTATCTCTAAAAAATGCACCTCAAAAAATTTTATTTTTCGAGATTTTATATTATAATTTCATTTTGATCTAGATTTCATTATGATCTGTCACAATACATATATGTTTATTACAATATTATGTTGAATATAAGCACAGATAATAGGCTTTCTGATATATATTAGTATTAGCTTAAGCTAATTAAATAATATATTAATTACAGACTAGAGATTATATGAAGATAATTTTAACTACAAAAGATCATAATAGCTAAGTTTCAAATAAAAGCAATAAACTCAATTAGTATGCTTTACACTAATTAATTTAAAATTTATTTATTTATATTTAAATTCTAAAAAAATGAATACAAATCTTGTGAGTATAATTCTTAAGAATCTGATTCTTGCGAAACTAATTCTTGGAAATCTGATTCTTGAAAATAGAGGTTTTGGGAATATGAATCTTGGAAATAAAGGTCTTGAGAATATAAATCTTGAGGATAGGGGTCTTGAAAATACAAATGTTGGGAATATGAATAAGAATCTTGAAAATATAAATCTCTGGGGTATGTATCTTGAGATTGTGAATCATAAGAATATGAACTTTGAAAATTAAAAAAACTAGTAATTTTTTGTTGTTTTTTTAATTTTTCATATATATGTTTATATTCTTTAAGCAGATTTTTTAAAAATTCTAGTTCTTCAAGAAAAAGATTTGACTCTGAATTTTCCTGTTCTTCATAGCGAATAACAGTTTGCATTGCATTAAATATTTTAGCAGCTGTTACAGATAGATTAAGTATTTTATTTTTATCTTCAATTTCTTGTTTGACTGATTCTTTATTTTTATTAGCTTGAACCATAGAGATGATCTTCTCATTATTGAGTATTTCTTCTGTAGTAGCAGATTCATCAATTAGTTGTAGATATGTTATTGTGACTTGAGCTGTTTTTGGTACATATGAACTTTCATCTAGTAATTTAGCAATTATTTTCTCAATTTTATTATTTTCTAATAGTATATCACTTTCGACAGATTAATCTACAGTATCCATATTTGGCTAATTCATGTTTAGAAGAATTTTTGTCTTGTTCTAGCAGTTTTGAATAGTTGTATTACTTATATTATCCTATGATTTTGTGATAAAATCAATTGCTTTTTTTATAGTTATTTTTTTTTATAAAAAAAAATAGAAATTAGCCCAAACAATAGCAACAAACTATCCATATTTTTGTAGAATTATGTCTCTAGCATTATTCTGTGAAAATACAGTAATAATTATATAAACTTTTCTATGTTAGCATTAGATTTGAATTGTTTAAGAACAAATTTACAATATAGGTGCTTATATTTTAACTTAAATGACTTGATTATACCAGCATCTATTGGTTAGATATAAGCAGTTGTGTGAGACAAAAGATAATGCAAAGTAATATTTGTAAGCTTCAATATCTTAGAAGATTCTTTGTTTCATCTGTGAGAAGAATTGGTGTTGGTTCTTATTCTTTCACATGGTCTTCCACAAGATCTTCCATGTAGTCTTCTATGTGTTTCTCTGTATTGCCTTTTTTGTTGCTTTTCAAGTAATCTTTCAGTTTTATCATTGTCTCTAAAGCCAAGGGAGTCATTCATTAAGTCTTCATTTTTAGAACTTAACTGATAATTATCATCCTCTACATTATTGATACTAAGTATTTTATTCATATTATTAGATAATTCAGGTGAACTATGGGATAGTGCATTGTCTACAAGCAGCAAAATTTTTTTATTTTGAATGTGAAACCCAGAATCAATATAATATAAGAAATGTGACAAAAATCAGGTAATTTTTTAGAGCAGAGAGGGATAAAAAAAGTTAAAATTATATATAAGAACCTAATTTTTATTTATATTAAGAGGGGGAGGAGAGTAAGCCTCTGATAAAAAATAATCAGGTGATAAATGACACTGCTCTAACTATTTTTCCCAAATATCTGATCTCATCCATGTTTTTTTATTATTTTTATAGGTGATTGGAAGCTGTAACAATTTTATATTACTGAAGCTTCATAGCTTTTTCAAATGACCAATAACCAGAGGCCAAAGATTGTGTGAACCAGTTGTATTCACAGCAAGTAGAACTGTAACCTGTAATTTATTCTGTAATAATGTATTATTATAGAGATTAATTAAATATTAAAAATAAGTTAGTAATAATAATACTCTGATTTGTTGAAAATTTTATTTCTATTTATTCATATATAGTCAGAGTATTATTAATTAATCTTTTCATAATCTTGATATAGTGATTGGAAGACTATATTATTATTATTTTTTTTGTTATTTTATTTTTTTTAACTTGTTTTGATCCAGCAACAGGCTGCTTCGCTAATGTTTGGTTTGGTAATATACGATAAAACAATTCTGTCTTATTAGCATTGTACATATTTTCCAACTCATATTGAAAAAGAAAATTTTGAAGCTTTATTTGTTCATTTGGCAAAGATTCTAAAGATGCACTTGAAGCTTCATTGTAAAGTTTATACTAACGCAAAGAATTCTATTTTTTATAATTAGTTATCCACTTATTCGAAAATTTTAGTTTATCTTCTGAAATGCCAAGAAGTTTTCAAAATTCACGATCTTTTGATTTTACTAATTTATCTGTAAGGACTAAACCTGCAGCTAAAACTTGGCTAACTCAAATATTCATTACTTTCTCAATTAAAAAATACTTTGGTCCTCTGTTTTTATATCAATTTTGTATTGCAGTATTTTCTTTAATGTATAGATACTGCTTTTTTTTTAAAATTTTAGAAATAGTTGATCATTCAAGATTTAGTTCAGGATATTTTTTTTTAAATTCATCTACAATATTTTGGTATTTTGCAGATAAGTTCTTAATATAGTATTCACAAATTTGTTTGTATTGAGTATTATTTAGTTGGCTATATATTTTTTTGGATGCTAAGCTAGGAAGCATATTAAAAAAAAAATTTATTATTGCTTGAAATAGGATTTAGTTAGATATTTCTATTAACTTTAAAATTCACTCTTTTTATAATTATTTGGATGCAAATTTATTTTATTGTTATTATGCGATAAGCGGATTTTATGAATTTTATGAATCCTGTATATTTCTATTGTTTAAAACAATGGTAAAATATAGAATTCATAGAATTTACAAAATCTGCTTATCGTACTAATTCGAAACAGCAATAAAAAAGATTCAAAAATTTAGGAGAATAAATATATTTATGCATATAATTCTTAAGAATATGCATTTTTTCTACATAAATAGGTGATGGGAATATTTTTATTTGATTTTACTTTTCACTTCTGAAGCATTTGACTTTTATTTAATCTAACTATTTTCTTATTTTCTTTATTTTAGATTTTATAAGCAATGCTTCAGCTCATTCTGGGATCTTGCTTTTTTTTTATTTATTACTACCTCTTATTTTGATTAGTATTTTTGGTTTGCTATATATATTTTTAATTGAATACTGTATTTAGAAATGTCATTAAATTGTTTAAGAAGATATTAATATTGTTATTATTATTTCTCTTTTTATTTTTTATTCCTTGTTTACTTATTACTATCATTCTCTGATTAACTCTAATTATTCAAACAATATTATCATCTATTCAACAATATTACTATCTACTTAAACAATATTACTATTTATTGAGCCTAGCTCTAATTAGTGTTCCGAAGTTCAGTTCAGTTTAATTTAGGTTCAGGTTTAAGTTCAATTGAACCTGAACTGAACTTTAAATTTTGTAAATCTTTGAACCTGAATCTAAACTGAACTTTAAATTTATGAACCTGAACTGAACCTGAACTTAAAGTTTTGGTTCAGTTCAAGTTTAGTTCAAGTTCATGAACATGTTCAAGTTCAATGAATTATATATATATATTATATGTT